GAGGAAGGTTCACTCTAAAGCCAGAATCCCAGGATTCAAATCTCAGCCCTGCCATTTACTAGCTGTGTGACCTTGGGCAAATAACTTTCATGTACCTAGGTGTTTTTTTGTTTTTTGAAATCAGAATTCTAATACACAGGGTTGTGTATCAAATGAATTTATATAAAGTCGTTTATATTTAGAACAGTGTCTTACCTATGACAACCGCTAGTAAGTTTTAACCACAATTACAAACTTCCAAAACAGTAGAGGGAAAATACAGATTTAGGGGAGGAAAAACCTTTATCCAAAAGAAATAAAAAACAGATAAAGAAGGAAATACAGAAATATGTTAAGTAGCACAGAATGAGATCAAATACACATGCAAATATAGCAATAAGATAACATACTGTAAAATAATGTAATAATGTAAATGGACTAGGTTCTTATGATGAGGTAATATTCAGAAAGTTCTCAAATCCCTCCCTCTCTCTGTGTTTGATAGGAAACCTAGGAAGCCAAAGAAACAAAGTTTCTTTTAAGGCTTCAAGAATATAAAGGAATCACAAGGTGCTTGGGCACTTGAGATTAAAACAATGTAACAATGTATCCCCTCCCCATCTGGACTCAGTGGTATAGAACAGCTTGTTAATCATAGTCATGGAAGCCCATTAGTTTATAATACCACATCTGGGTAACCTTTACAAGAATAGATTAAAATATAACTAGCATCCTAAATACACCTGTAGTGACCTACGAGCTCCTACTGCAATAGTTTCTGGGTGTTGACTCCCCACTTAACTTTGTAGTAAATGTATAAAAGACATGGCACTGCTGTGTTGGAGCTCAGACCATTGGAAATCACTCTCCTCTAAGCCCACGGTTGTAAAATAAACCTCCACCCTCCAAGACCTCCAAGTACTACTTGGTTCTTCCGTTAGTAATCCAGTCCAGGTTTTCCAGTTTTCGGTAACACTTTAATTAAAAGACAAAGTTTGTCAGATTGGGTTGAAAAAACAGCCTAGCAGTATGTTGTTCACAGGAATCAGCTCAAACATGGAGCCTATGGAAAAGGATGTATGGGTCAGCGTCCATGGATGGGATTCTTCCTCCTGTACCTTCCTTCCCTGCCCGTCTAGTCCATGCCCAGGACTCTCTCCAGCCTCTTCCAGGCTTCCCCACCATCCGAACCCCATCTAGCTTCAGCCCCAGGGGCGGCTAGAACACCCAGGTGCCAGTGCCGCCCCACCCACAGGCTCAGGCAGGCGGTGGCCGCGTGACGTCGGGGGTGGGGGCGGAACGTGTCTCTCGCCCTCGCGCACACTTTTTTGGCTCGCCACCCCGCCGGGTCGCTATTGGTGAAGAGGAGCACACGTCACGCGGGCTGTAAAGGGTGTGTTGTGAAGCAACGCCACCTCGGCCTGCGCGGATTGGCCGCCTGCCCACCGACGGTCCGTGAAGCCTGTGTCCCACTGTCGCCCTCCCACGAGGACCACTACGACACCTGCTCTGTAGCCCAGGCCGCGGCAGCTGCTGTGTGTGTAGGCCACGTTCTTTGATGAGTAAGGGGACTACTTTCCCTGGGGGCTTGGGCACGCATTAGGGAGACTGCCGTCAGCCGCACCTCGGCCTTTATGATGACAAGTGAACTAGAAATTCGTCACTGCTCTACCCAGAAGCCCCATAGAGCAGTTAGATGGATGGAGAAGGGTCAGGTTGAAATAAACGTGTTTTACACAAACTCTTACCTGTGTGGGGCAAACCTCGGCACACTTCCTTTCCGCTATTACTAAATGGAAAGATTGCTTGTTAGGTGGTTCATTTCATGTCCTATGACTCCCAATCTCATATTCAAAGCATTTCGAATTTCAATTGTAGTTTATTGGGGCAGACTTATGTTTCTTTACATTACTTTTTATTCAAAAATGTATTTTTCCATTTTTAGTCTTTTTTTCTTAACTGAATTAACATGGCTCCAATGAACCACCGGGGCTCTGTGGAAGTCACATACAGCAACATGAGATTTCTTATAACACTATCCAACCAGCACAACCTTAAATTTATAGAGGAACTTAAGAAATACGGAGTTACCACAATAGTAGTACTATCTGAGGCAACTCAGGACACTGCTCTTGTGGAGAAAGAAGGCAACCATGTTCTGGATTGGCCTTTTAACGATGATTCCTCACTGACTAACCCGTTTGTTGATGACTGGTTAAGTCTCATAAGCATTAAATTTCACGAAGAACCTGGCAGTTGTATCGCTGTTTCTTGTGTTCCAGGTCTTGGGAGAAGTCCAGCACCTGTTGCCCTAGCATTAGTCAAAGGTGGAATGAAAAATGGAGATGCAATACAGTAAGACGAAAGTGGTGGCGATATTTAACAGCAAGCAACTTTGATATTTGGAGAAATCAATCTAAAACGTGGTTCACTACAAAGACTCCTGGTCATAAAATTGCTGCATTCAGTAACTGTTTGCCTGCCTGATGCTTTTGCCTTGGAAGTGGAACTTGAAACAGGACTTAATTGATAGTACATATTGGCCTAAATATAGGCTTAAAGAATGACAAGTCTAATGAAGCTTCCATAGGGGATTTTGAAAAGCCACATGCTTAACAGAATTGCTCCATGTTGGGCTTGCTATTACTCTCATGCCAGAAACAGTATGTAAGAAATTGAGAGATTTAGTGCCAAAATACCTAGCACTATGCTTGTATATTTTTAGTATCATACAAAATTAAAGTCCTAGAAATTATGAATAGCACTGTAAACCCCATGTGGTTTATTCCTTCAGTCATTTCAAACATTTCAAGTAAGGTCTATACAGTTATTTGCTCTCTTAGGTTTACCACCCCACGTGCAGACCAGTATGCATCACGTTGCTGCAACAATTGATTTTACTGGATTCTTACCAGGACATACAGTGATTATTTAATGTCTTTCTATATATCTCATTTTGTACTGTTACGAAAATTTCAGTTTGAAAAATCACAAATCTCTGGCTGAAAGTTCATGTAAAATGCACATTGTACAGAAGCACATGTGTAGTGTCTTCAGACAAAAAAGTTTTACAGTTAATTTAACGTTTAGTCTTGAGATGCAACCTCAGGAGAGCCTGAGGACAGAATGGGAGGGGACTATGAAATATTTCTAGTAAAATGTTTGCTAATATTTTATTCAGGATTTTGCATCTATATTCAGGAAGATATTGGTCTGTATTTTTCTTGTGTTGTTTTAAATCTGGTTTTAATACCAGTTTCACAGAATGACTTAGGAAGTGTTCTCTCCTCGATATTTCTGAAAGGATTTGTGAGAGATTGTCACTATTTCTATTTTAAATGTTGGGTAAAATTCACCAAGGAAGGCATCTGGTCCAGGCATTTTCTTGGTGGGAAGATTTTAAATTATTAATTCAATTTCTTTACTAGCTATAGGTCTGTGATTTCTGCTCTAATTTCTGCTTGCTCTGGATTCAGTATGCTTTTCTTTTTCTAGTTTCTTAAGGAGGAAGTTTATTATATTGCTTGGAGACTTTTCTTTTTTTCCTGATATAGGCATTTAAAACTATAAAATTTCCCTCCAAGCCCTGCTTTAGCGACAACTCATTAATTCTGATATTTTTTGTTCAACTTATATAATTTACCTTGTGCTATCTTCTTTGACCCATGGGTTTAGAAGTGTACTGTTTAATTTTCAAATAGTTGATAATTTCCCATTTATTCTCCCTGTTGTTGATCCCTAATGTAATCATTAACTCTGTCCGGGAAGACTTCTTGGAGCCCATTGCATTTGAACGCCAAGGATGAATGCTGTCTCCAGGCAGAAAGCTGGGGTCGACTGAAATTTAATTGATAAAAGGAAGGGAAGCAGAGGAAAGGAGTTTCCACGTGGAGACCAAGCATGTACAAAGGCACAGGCCTGAAAGTGCAGGTGTTTAATGCCAGCAAAGTGTTCAGTGTGGTTGGAACAAAGGAAATGTAATTTGTATTTTTTTTCTTTTTGTGTTGGTCAGTATAGCTAACTTTTGGTACTGTTGATCTTTTCAAAGAACCTGATTTTGTCTCATTGTTCCCTACTATTTTTCTTTTCAATTATGTTGAGTATGAAAGAAATGTAGGTGGGACAGGATGTTGAACAGAGAGTGTTAAATAAAAGTTTCCTTGGTGTTTGGATTCCAGCTTTGCTCTTTACACCTTCTTAAGAGTTTCTCATTCTCTGTGAGCCCAGGAATTGGAGGACAGGGAAGTTTCCTCAGTATCTTCTTGGCTGAGCACCAGCACTGAGGAAGCAGATGTTGGAAGAATGAGACCTGGGCAAGGGGTGGCGGGTGTCTCTGCTAAGTACTCTTCTGGAGGGTCAGCAGTGCACCTCGCCTGCTCGGAGAGGTGGCCCTATAGGACCTATTCACTGTGGGCACTGGGAGTCCTGAGGCTGAGCTGGCAGCAGGGGTGGGTAGGTCTCTAAGCCTGGCTTACTGTTTCCTGTTTTACAATAAAGTTAGAGGCTACAAGCTGCCATCGCAATAGGTCTTAGCAGTTTAGCAGGTGCTCTGATGCAGAGGCTGCAGGCTTATGCCTCCCACTGCACCCCACAGGGTGGGCTTTGTTGGACATGAGGGCAGTGAAGGCAACAGCTGGACTTGGTCTAAGGACACCCACGACCAACCAAGCCCATTCTGCAATAAAACTGCTCTGGTTTGCTCAATTACTTCAGAGCACGGAGGGTGGAAGAGGGGCCAGGAAAATGAAGTCAGGTCTCCCCAAGAACTCCCCACGGTGCTTTGCCTCTCACTGCCTCTCCTCCTCACTCCTTGGTCTGCTGACCCTCCCCACCCACATTTCTCCAGTTTTCCTTTTAATAATAACCCAAATGGAATGTCTAACACTCAACAGCCCACAGGATAGTGACCATTTCTGACCAGTGAGCTGCCTCCAGCCCCTCAGCCCTCACGCCCTTCAGAGCCTATTCTTCCAACAGGCACTCGTGTCTCTGAGGGTGGTCAGTAGCTGCCCTCCCACTCTTCATTCCCCGGAACTCCTAGCCAGCTTTCCCTCTTGGGGCTCAGTGCAAACACTGCTCCCCCTGAAGCCTGTTTTTATGTCCTCATAGGATGTATCCTCTCCCTTCTTTGAGCACCCTTGACCTTTAGCTGCACTTCTTTTACGGACTTAGAACTTTCTCCCTTCTGACAAAATGAATTGTGTCCCTATCTCATCTCCACTAGACCCCGAGCTCTGTAAAGGCATAGTTCTAGGCAGGATTCTACATTTTTCACAAGTTCTAGCCAACAGTTGGCAATTAATAAATGAAGAAATTCTTGGGAAGGACATTAGAGAAGGGTTACAGAAAAGTTATAGAAAACTCTTAGGCTTTTGGGGACAAGGCTGTCACTCACTACATGCCTGGGCATCCCTCCTCACAACAGAAACTTCAAAGGAAAAACACAGTGACAAGGATGGCCATTTTGGAACCCATTTATATGGTCAGCCCCACACCAGCCTCTGAGACCATGTCAGACGGTCTGAACACTCATGGCGTCCTTGGGCCAAGTGTAGCTGTCCAGTGTAAATGAGTCATAGTCTGGAGTGTAGACGAGGGATCTGACAAAGGCCTCCTTGTCCTTTGGCTCCGGGTAGTAGGAGGCCAGGTTGTGTTTGTACGCGAAGTCGAGGACCTAGGGAAAAACATGTTGGCTGAGGAACTGGATCTAAGGAGGTACTTGCCTCCAGACCCTTGCTAGGGGGCATGTGGACGGGGAAAATACCCTGCAGAACCAGGCATGTGCCTCTCATGAGCTGTGGCCCACTAAGCCGCTGGATAGCAAAGATCCCGGGCTTTTTGCTCAGACAGGAAGCTGTGACACAGTGCAGTACATACTGGGCCTTCGTCAAAAGGCCTCCGACTAAAATCTGCCGTTGCTCCTAACAGCCTGTGGGTCCTCAGCAGGGCCATTATCCTTGCTGAGCCTCAGTGTCTTCATCTGCCAAGTGGGGGAAATGAGGGCATCCTCTGGAGTGGTGTGAGGATGTCCAATAAAATTAGGTAGCAGGCAGCAGTGTTCAGTACCTGGCAGTGTTGCTGCCCCAAGTGTGGGCTGAACTGGAAGAACAGCTGGGACATTGTGCTCAGAGAATTAGATGTGGCTTCAAAAGAGCATGAATCTAAATATCCCCAAAAGGAAGGAACTGGGCAGAGCTGGACTGTGAGCTGGACTGTTGGTCTTATGGGCTGATTCTGGATCCTACGCTGGACAGCCCGTGGGGAGCACATGCTGTGGAGCAATGCATTTTCTGAAATTCTTTTGAAAACTTACTATAGGAAACATACATATATAAACACTAATAAAAATAACAGTATAATAAGCCCTCATATATTCATCCAGATCCACAATTATCAGTGTTGGGCCAGTTGTTATTGCACCACATTTGGACTCTTTGAAAACCGATCATCACTGCATAGTCTTCAGGTGACATTTGTACTCAGAACACCCCACGACCCGATCACCTCATGGCCCCGTCATTCTGAGAGAAAGGGAGGAATGAGCATCTGCTCTGGCTGGACTAGGCACTGAGTGTGGAGCTTTCTCACTGCTCTCCTTTGATCTTCTCCAGAACTCTGAGAAAGAGGAATTACAGTCCCTTTGGGGGAGGAGGACCCTGAGCCTCAGGGAAGTGACGTGACTGGCCTGTCATGGCTCTGCCGCTGATTGGCAGAGCTGCGACGCCACAGCCGGAGCTCTTGGCAGGATGCTGTACAAGGTGACCTTTCTGTATAAACAGGCACTCATGATTCATTAAAAAAAAATTCTACCCACAGTGCGGTCCACAAAACTATGGACTTTGATGGCCTTCTGCCTGGAGCTTGAGGGGAAATCCAGGAGCTTTCCCAGAATGGGCCTGAGAGGGCATTGGGGGTGGGGCACAAGCTGCAGGCAGGGGGTTGTCACCCAGCCTTTGGGATGCACGCAGTGCAGCCCAAGGAGCTCAGGAGGTGCCCCCAGCTGCCATCCCCTCAGTTCGCTGAGCCTCACTAGGGGGTAGGATGTCTCTTACTTTGATGGCGATTCTCAGAGACACATCTCGGATGGTGCTGAGTGGTGGGTACAGCCTCCCCTGGGACAGATGCTGCTCAGAGACCTCCTGGGCGATTTGCTAGGGAGAGAGAACTGAGAAAATCAGCAAAGTCCCCAGAACAAGCCCGACCATTGGGCTGCAGTTCCCACTGTGTCTGCGGCACCACGTGGCCCCAGGGGTACCTAAGGCTTGCGCTTAAGCATTATGTTCCATAGGGTAAGCACTACATTCTGTACTGGGAGACGGGCTGAGGCTCAGAATTACATGAGGCTCCCTGAGTTCTAAAGGAAAAAATCACTAAGATCAAGGTGAACAAACTCCTGGCTTGCATGCAGACCCCAGGGTCTCCCCTGGGCTGGTCTAGCCTATTGCACAGGGATCCCCAGGTCCCTCACTCCCTGACTTCCAGCCTCTCATGTGCTCAGTAACCTCATGTCCATAGGTTCTGGCGTCTCTGTATTCAGGGCCCCTTGAGCTCTCCTTTCCAGCCCTGGTTGCAGTCTGAGGAAAGGCTTCTCCAGGGATTGAGACCCCAGGTGGACCTTCTGCTTTATTGGAATAATGCCCTAGGCACCTCATCCTGGGAATGCGCCTGGCACAGCTTCCTGGCCTGGTCTGAGCTTGTCTCCCCTACAAGCTTCATCGTCCAGCCTCAGGCACTGGCACTCAGCCAGCTGTGCAGATCAGCCTCTGTGAAGTGATGACTCTGAATGCACTCCCACTCCATGTTCTGGTAGCAAATTTAAATTTAGCAAAAGCCCTGGTGCCCTCTGAGCACTGTGTGTCCAGAATGAACAAAGCAAAGGTGTTGGTTTCCCCTCAGCATTTGGCAGACATTAGGGAAACAGGCCTCCCCCCACCTCCAACTGCCCTATTCTTATGCTTCTGTATTTCCATTCATTCACTTAAATATTCACTGGGCTCTACAGTATGCCAGGCTCTGTGCTAGGTGCTGAGGATCGGTGGTGGAGAAACCACAGTCTTTCTCCTCCCAGGGACTGGTGTCAGCAGACAATTAAACAGTTAGAACAATTCTAATGTAGTGAGGTGGAAGCAAGGAGACGGGCCAAATAGGCACAGAGGGAGCGGGGCCCAGTCCACCGTGTACGGGAAAGCTTCTCAGAAAAAGCGACGTAAGCTAAGACTCAAAGGACAAAGTATGAATTACTTGAAAAGGGGAGAGGGAATAACACATGCAAATTCTTGGAGGGGAGAGAGAGCCAGACAGGGTATGAGTTCAGGATTGTACAAAGAACACTGGATGGGTCGATGGTAGGGGGACACCGAGAGGCTGGAGAGGAAAGGAGGCCCCAGGCCAAATGCCTTGTGTGGAAATTGTGCAGGAGTTTGGACTTTATCCTGTGAGCTGAGAAGCCATACAAAGGTCTGAAATGAGGAGAGAGGGGGCCTGTTCCACGTTTTGAAGGCTTCTCTCTGTGGACGGCTAGAGGATGGATGGATTTGAGGGAAGCAGGGTTTCCATGGCTTGATCACATTAGAGCCTTGGGAGCTCACTGGGGATAAACAGACTTAATATGTGTTTATAGTTTTGAGAAACTGTAACTGAGTTTATAACCTCCCAAGGGAGACATTTCTAAAGCCTTGGTTTCCTCGGAGTAAGGATAAATGTGAAGTGCCTGGCAGTCGGTAAGCAGCTGATCAGTGTCAGCGGCTGTAACTGTTATTATTGATCATTATTATCACCATGGGCTGCCATTCCTAATGAGTTCTGTCATTGTGTCCAGTAAAGAACCTTCTGGGGGCTTTCCAGTAAGACACGTGGGGCAGGGCAGGTGTGCACTTTCTGTGCTGCAAATCCGGGTACTCAAGTAGGCAAACCAGACATGCAGCTGACAGCCTTCCTTACCGAAGCTGCCGTGCTGGGGCTTATTCTGCCACCAGTTACCCTGGTAATGTGCCAACACCTGTGCCTGGAAGAATCCATTGTCTGTCATGGTCCACAAGCCCACAGTTTCAAGTGGATTGGTGGCTCTCCCCTCTTCTAGGCATGTATATGGGCACTGCTGGGGGCAGGGAGCAGTACAAGGCATGTTTTCTCACTGCAGTGCCTCCTGCCAATACCTTCTCCCACTGACTATTCCCAACCCCCCCTTAGGAGCCCCAGATGTGTTCTGAGAGAAGTTCATGTCTGAAGGTGACCTTGAGAGAAGCTTGCTGTTCAAGTACTTTGGGGACCCACTGCCAGGGTTGGGGGCAGGTGGATAGAAGAGATGAGAGGAGGATTCTCTGGGGGCCCAGTGTAGGACCTGGGGTAGGTCACAGCTCTACCGGGAGCATGCAAGAGAGTGGGACAGTCATACCTCTGCTGTCAGGAGGAAGATCTCGTCTGGGATGTGCCGGATCCCACCAGCGATGACTCCCAGGGCCACTCCAGGGAACACATAGGCGTTGTTTCCCTGCCCGGGAATGAAGGTCCTGCCGTCTTCCAGAGTCACACTCTTAAAAGGACTTCCACTGGCAAAGATCCCTCGGCCCTGGAGGCAGGAAGACAACCAGAGATGGAGCTTGGAGATCCAGGCAGTAACAGTGGCCTAGTCTTATCTCCCAAAGGTTGACCCCTCTTCCTCCGCCAAATGCTCAGCATTGTCTGGGCACAGTGCAGGTGCCAAAAGCACTCTTGTACATTTGACTGAAAAGCTCAGGCCCCATGAGTTACCTGGTGGCCAAAAGCCACTGAAAGGTGAAGCTGGACCTTTTTAACCTGTCACTTCCCTGGAGGGCCAGCCCAGCACACCACAGCTATACAGGCGCCTCGAGTCTCCAAGCGCTTCAGGCTCTGGCCAGAGCTTGTTGCTTTAGGAGAACCTTGGGCCGAGTCGCATAATGCTGAGGGCTCGGGCTGTGGAGCCAGACCTCGGTGGAGGGCCAGCTCCATCCTCATGAGCTCTGTGACCTAAGGCAAGCGATTCCTCTCTCTGAACCTGTTTGCTCGTCAGCAGTGTGGGGATTTTTTCACCCTATGGGGCTGCTCAGTTCATTTTACTATATCCTCTCAGCCTGGGGAAGGAAGGACTCCCCGCTGACCTCAGTGACCCGGAAGCACTTCTCAGCTGTGCACTCGGCCTTGCTGGTGGGGTTGCTCAGGGCAAAGATGATGGGGCGCTCGTGGAAGGAGGCCATGTCCCTCAGAATCTGCTCCGTGAAGGCTCCTGTGATGGCGGCAACACCTACAGGGAAAAGGCGGGTAGTGGGGGTGCCTGCTCTCTGTAAACAGTCCATTCCTCCCCTGCTGGTGGTGGGAACCAGGTACAGCACTAGAGACTCAGGAGTATCGGGGATGGCGTCTGCCATAGGGATGGAGGGAGCAGAAGAGAAGAGGGTCTTCCTGCTTGAGCAGCTGACACCTCCTGTGAACCCCTAAGGGACCACTGGTCCCTGCCCAGTGAGCTGGCCCTGGGCATTGCCCTTCAGAGTGGGCTGCTCCTTCAAGACAGGGAGAAATGCCGGGCTGCCCCCCTGGGGAGGCATGCTCATATCATCCTGGTCCGAGAGGCCAGCCCTGACCTCACTGCGCTATGTGATTCTGTACCACGGGGGGCCTCAGTTCTACGGTTTTTACATGTAGTCGCTCAGTGGAAGTTTGTGGCATTGCACTGGACTTGGGGGGTGGGAAGAGCTGTATTCCATGGCTGCTCTGCTCCTTGCTGAGCCTCGATCTCCACCTGCAAGTTGGGAGGGTTAGCTGGTCTGAGCCGTGGGCCACCCTTCCGCCTACCTATGATGGCTGTGGGCTTCACCAGCTTCACCACCTCCTCCAGGGAGTTCACTTCAGGATGGTCCTGGGTGAACATCTCCTTCTCGTGGCTCAGGTGGCTCCTCCCCTGCAGGGAAGGGCAGACATGGTGCAGCAGCCGCGGTGAGAACCGCAGGGCAGGGCGTGAATGTACTGGGACACTGAGGCGCTCCCTGCGGAAGCCCGTGCTTTGGTCTGAGCTATCAGACGCATTGGCACCACATTTCCTGGTGGAACCTGAGGATTTTTAATGTGTGTGTGTGCATGTGGCTGTGGTTTTCTTTAGCCCAAGTCACCTATGATGAATCCACAAAGCCTTTCTTTGAGCTGCTGGCATCGTGGCTTCCTGGGCCAGGACAGAAAGGCTCTCAGCAAGTGCCTGAGTCTGACTAAGAGCTTTGGCCCCAAGGTGTCCAGTACCCAGGCCCAGCTGAGGGACAAGGGCCTGGGCCACCCAGGGTCAGGGAGCTAATCTGAATGCATTTTATAATATCTGTAAGCTCCCTGCAAATAATAATAAGCTGAGCTCCGGGACACACTTGCAGTGGCTGGCTGCCCCCAGTAAGCTCCAGATGCCTCCCGTTTCTCAGTGGGTGATGGGCTGGTGAATGCGGTCAAACATTCCTGGTGACTCCTTTGGGTCAGCTGCCCTCGTGAGAGGCAGCATGAAGACGTCAGCTCTGAGGGGTTTCTGAGCAGGGTGAGTGCCATGGGTGAGCAGAAAGGCAGGCAGGAGGGACGTGTGGCAGCCCTGGCAGCCTGGTCCTGGGCTGGGATTCTGCTCTAGACCTGGGGCGGGGGAGGAATCCCGAGGCCCTGGTTCCCCCCAGCAGTATCTGGCTCTGTATGGAACAATAGGAAAGTCAGTGTCTGCTGAATGTCTCTGTTATTCCTGGTCACTAGCCCCACGTATTTCCCCCATTACTATTCCTGTCCTCTTTTTCTTTCTTTCACTGACATTCTACGTTAGTGGAATTTGGGGAATTAAAACACGGAGTGCTGGGTGAAGTCCTAAGGGAGGAGGTCATCTAATTGTGCCCCTGGCCACATTCCAGTCAGAAGCTGGACTGCTTCTCTCTCATTCATTCTTTCTTAACTATGCACTTAGCACGTGCCAGGCACTGACATCAGACCATACAGCCTAGCGGGGAGAGAGACAGTAAAAGGGCAACTGCTCTACAATGTGGTAAGAGTGACGTATGCAGCGGGGTGGGCTATGTGAACATAATGGAGGAAGTTAGTTGAGACCCAGACGCTCAGGGAAAGCTTCTTGGAGGAGGCAGCAGAAGACAAGAGAGGAAAAGGATGGGCTGGAGGGTTGAGAGTGGGCATGTGGGAAAAAAAGGACATTTTAGGCAGAGGAACAAAATATGCAAAGAGGTAGAAGACAGAGAGCACATTACTTTTGGAGAACTGATTCAGTATGGCTGGAGGTGAGCGCAAGGCAGGAAGGGTGGTGGGCAGTGCGGTGGGAAGGGTGCACGTTCTCACACCTGCCTGCCTGTTCAAGGCTTTGGGGCAAGGGCAGTCCGGGTGACTGCCGATGAGTCTTTTGCTGTGGGCTTCAGGTCACTGCCCTCCTTTTGCTCCCTGTTCTGCCTGAGCAGTCCGCCCCTTGGAGACCTCTTCCACTCCCGTTCCAAATGCTGGGGGTGTCGGGAAGCCTCCAGGTCTCCAGACCAACCGTACCTTGACAATGAGCCCCTTGGAGTCCACCATCCAGATCTTCCTCGTGGCCTCTGCCTTGGAGACGCCTTCTTTCTCCAGGGCCATGACAAGGAGGTGGGCGATGCCCATGGCTGCCTGGGAGGTACCACAGGGAGGATGTTCAGACACAGGGAAACTGCTGCTCAGCGTTTACCAGATGCCTACCCAAGATCCTCTCTTCTTCCCCCCTATTCCCAGGAGTCCCAGTTAAGGCCTTGCCTTGAGACATCCAAATATGGGGGCCCAGGCATCTACAATTATCACAATGTACCTGCGCTGCTTCCTCTGCTCAGAACCCTTGAACACCTACCCTCCTTGATGCCCTCCACCCATTGTTCTTCTGCTACGCTAACAGCAGAGAGCCCCTGGTGGCACCGACCTCACCGGCACCTTGGAAAACAAACACGTGATTGGAGAGCTTGTTCTTGGTGATTCGCAGAGCAGCCAGGATCCCTGCCACAGCGACAGAGGCTGTGCCTGCAACAGAGTAGAGTGAAATCACCCTCAGCCTCTGGCCACTGGCTTCCAACCCCCCAGAGATGACCTCTGGCAAAGCTCCCCACACCCAGAACTTTCCTTAGCCCTTATACAAGTCAAACGCACAGGCATGCAACTTTCGGAGCAGATCCACACTCTCTTTGGTTTTAGCTGTTCTTTTGAGAAACAGCTCCTGGGCTTTTACTGACCCTGAGAAAGAGGTTCAGATAGTAAAATGCTTCCCCCCTCATTTCTAAATACATTGATGACGACAAATATAACAGAAGCCAAATTAGAGTGTGAGTGTCACAGAATGGCTTGTGTTAGGGATAAATATGCAGAAATGAGACCACAAAGTAACCATGAGACATTAAGTGATCACGTGACTGAGTTGCCTATCTTAACCACCACGTCATAGGGTGGGGGTGTGCCCAGGATCCTGCCATCAACAAATGTCTGGACCATGTCCAGAAGGTGCAGTACATTGCATTATCAGATGGCTAAGACTTATTTGACACCTACGCCTGCATGATTTTTTCACCCTCAATTCACACCAAAGGTCTCACCAGGAATTCCTTGGGACCAGCTGACCAAAGAGAAGATTACTTGGACTTCGTTTATAGATTCTTCTTAATGATATGGCAGCATCAACCAGAAGTATATGGTTGAGCTTCACAGCCCCAGTAGAATATAGCCCTAAGGGTAATGGTGAAGGAATTCTTCCCAGTGGACATGACTTCAAGTTGTAAATTTGCTTGTCTACTTTGGTCCAAGAGATGGCCAGATCTACATGGATTCATGGGCAGCTGCTAAGGTTTAGCTGGATGGTCAGGGACTTGGAACAAAATAGTAAGACTGGTGACGAGGACGTCTGGGGAAGTGGTGTGTGAATGGACCTCTTGCAATGGGTACAGAGTGTGAAGGCATTGGTGCCCGATATGAAAGATCACCAAAGGGCACAATAAGAATAGGTTCTCAATAATCAGGTAGACAAAATGGCATGTGCTGCATATGTTAGCATCTTTCCCAGCCACGTAGGGTTTGGTCAATGAGTTATGTACACAGTAGCCATAGTGGCAAGGATGGAGGTTATGCATGGACTTCCCTTCACCAAGGCTCACCTGCTACCACTATTGCTGAATGACTAACCTGTCAATGGTGGAGACCAAGGTTGAGCTCCTGATGGGGCACCACTCCCTGGGAGGACCTGGCAGCATGATGACTGCATTGGACTCTTTACATTGTAGACAGAAAAGAAATCTGTCCTCATTGGAATAAATATTCTGCATATGGATTTTCCTTTCCTGTCTGTAAGACTCTGCCAGTACCATCATCTGCGGGTATTTGGAATACCTATTCATCATCCTGATACAGTCTAGATGCCAAGGCTTCTAATTAAAGAATTCATTTCACAGTAACTATAGAGCTAGTCGAGATAATACCATTTGGAGATGATAAGGTTCTATCTTACAGGATGCAATATATGATTTGACTTAGAAAACAATACACTGTGCTTCCTCCCGTAGCCAGAGCGCTTAGGTCTAGAAATCAGGGGGTTAAAGTGGGAATGGTTCCTCTCAGCATTTTACCAAATAACTCACTTGCAGAATTTTTGCTTCCTGTCTCTTCAATTTTATGCTTTCTGGATTGGAGATCTTGGTTCCCAACAGAAAAATGCTTCCATTAGAGCTTATAACATGGTTCTACTGAATTTGAATTTGAGACTGCTACCTGGCCATTTAGAGCTCTTTTTGCCACAAAACTAGTGGGCAAGAAACCAGTGGGACATGATTATTCGTTCTGATAACCAAGGGAAGCTGGGGGCAGGGAGGGACTATATCTGTGCCCAGGAATCCTCTGGGGTGGGACTTCGTACTTCCATGCTCAATAGGAAATACTAATGACTACCACCGCAGCTGAAGAGAGGCGGGACCGCTGAGGAGTCAGTCCTTCAGAAACAAAGGTTTGAGCCTACCAAGAACCCCGGTCAGCTTAGGTCCTATCTGCAGACAAGAAAATACGGAATGGGAGGCTGAGGAAGGAATTTATAAACATCAACTATAGCCTCATGGCTAAGGTTGCAGAAACAAGGTTTGTAGCAGCCATGTATATTTTCTTCCTCAATTAGGTGATTTTATATATATATATATACATATATATATATATGTATATATATATATGTAAAGGCTAATTTATTCTCCTTATCATTTTATCTGTTTTGTTAGAGGTTAATTCTATAATTTAGTCTTTAGGGAAGAACAGAATTTTCAAATGTGACAGTGATTGAGTTTTAAGAGTAGTTAATCCTGCCCAGAGATGGGCAGTGTGACTTTCTTCAGGAGTTGAATAAAATGATGGTAGAGACTGCTTGTCCCCACGTCCAGGAGAAGGTAAGAATGCCTTCATTTGTTGGAAAGATAGTTGCATTTTATTAGCACTTTGTTGTTTTGTCCTTGTCTGGAAGTACCAGTGCGCAGAACTGTGCGCATGGATGCTGAGTAGCTGAAAGGATGGGCAGTGACCATTGTCGGGTAATTGTTTCTCGGCATCCAGCCCACCCTTTGCCTTGTGTGCAAATCACTTCCCAGCTTTGCCACTCGGCTCCACGCAAGGCGCTGCCAACAGGGGGCGCCGGAGGGCAACAGAAAGGCTAGTTGGGGATGTTGACGGGGAAGTGGGGAGAACATAAATTTCAGCATCACCCCTGCCCTTGTAAGATTTCTGGATAAAATATAGGACACTTAGTTAAATCTGAATTTTAGTAACAATTTTGTAGTGTATGTCCTGTGTAAACAGCATAAGTATTCTAAAAAATATTATTCATTATTTATCTGAAATTCAAATTTAACTGGGTATCCCACTTTTTTTTTTCTTTTGGCTAAATCTGACAACTCCACAGCCTTCCTTGGCTTTTCACCTCTGCACCAGCAATTGGTTCCAAAGGCAGCGGGTGAATCTGGTCCCTTGCAGAACTGGCCCTGTAGTGTGTCCCTCTTAGACACCAACACTAGTCAGCTTCCGCCTCATCTTCCCTTTGTTCCCCAGTCCTAGGGGTGTAGCAGATCCTTAGTGTTTTTTTTTTTTGGCTTTTCATTTCTCTAATATGTAATTAATAATTCTTCACATTGTTTGCTCTGTTAAAGCAACTGGAATTGACCCTGACCAATAAAGCATTCACAATGAAGTCATCACAACTGGCAATACTAAAGCCTCCATGATGGTCAAAGAAAGGCAAATTAAAGTGGAACTTTATGGCTCATTAAGGTTGCACAAATGGAAGAAATTGATGTTATCTAAGGCTGGTGAGGGAACAGTGAAAAGTAGAAAAGTTACAGCATATGTTGCATTTTAAAGTGCTTCAGTTCTTTTTGGAAAACGATTTCCCAGTATAGACCAAAGGCATAAGATATTTTTGCTCTTTGATCTCATGCTTCTACTTCTGGGAATCTATGTATGGACAGATCCACAATGTATGTCCTAGGATATTTATGTCAGTCTCTTTTATAATACAGAATGACTAGAAATAACTTAAACATCTAACAAAGGAGTAACGGCTAGATAATTAGTAGAAACATTCAGAATATATTGCAGCCATTAAAAGTGCTCATTATGAAGATGATGTAACAACACAGAAAATGCCTTGAAGTTAGTCTAACATCAGATATTACATGTCTAACTGTAAAGACATTTATTTGTTTAATCCTCATTATCATCATCCCTGTTCTACAGACTGGGAACATGAAGTACAGAGTAGTTTTGCTGAGTTGTCCAAGATCATATAACAGAATGAGGATTTGAACCGGGAACCAGTGCTAAGCTATGCTTCACTGAGTTGGCTGGAAGGAAGAGAACCTTATCGTGATTCTAGCTGCAGTGAAACACATACACATAATCTGGAAAGAAAAACAAATTACAAATGGTTGCAGGGTGGGAATATGAGTGAGTTTTTTGTTTTCTGTTTCCAGTTTTCTAGGGTGTTTTTTTTTTTGCTAGCTCTAGGGTGGTGGGTGGAGGGGCTTCTCCTCGAACATGGGATGGATTTGGGCCTGGCTTAGAGGCTGAATGTTGGGCCATGACAGGGGGCACCGCAAACAGTTGGAGCCTAATAGGTGCATATTCATCAATGTGGACATCAGAAGGCAGGACATGAGTCAGGAACACACTCCCCCCAAAGATGGGGTGCAGGTTCTCCAGCCTTCACACAGCGGTGGCCTGGAGGGACAGTGGCTGAAGTGCCAGCAGGGTCCCGGGCCAGGCCTGAGGACTACTGGGGCTTTCCTAACATCCTTCTGAGGGGCCCCAAGGAACTTAGTGTGCATTTACTAAGGCCAACCAGGTGATAGGCACCATACTGGGCAATGCAGAACGTGAATCAAACCTGGTCCCTGACCTTAGGGACCTACCTCCCTTTACCAAGGCTTAGGTTCAATAACTGCAACACAATGGACAGTCAGAGGTCATTGTTGGTAAATTGTTGCATTCACTTGGTTTTGAGGATTAATTATGTACCGGACTTTGGGGTACTGAGGATGCCCTTGGTAACAAAATAGGTTCATTCCTGCTTTGTAAAGAAGTTAATAAATGATTATCAAGTGTGATGACAGCTATAAAGAGGTTGTTGATGATAACACTTTTTGTTAGTTTATGTATAGAAAGGATATTATCAGTATCAACCCACTTTAGCAGCTTCATGCCTCCCCATGTACTCTATGTATCAGGCATGTTATTCATTGCTCTTAACAGGCCATGTGTTTTTATACTTCTGTGCTTTGTCCATGCTGTTTCTACCATCTATAGGAGCTTCTGCAGCTCATTACTTATTCCTTATGAATCAGCCCAAACGACCTCCTCTGCTAGGAAGTCTCTGTTTCCCAGGCATTATTAATTATCCCTTCTTTTCCCAGATCTACTTTTTATCTAACCTGAATAAAGCTGGGCTATATACTGGCCAGGCTCAGCACTGTACTGCACTCAAAAGGAACACCAAAATGATCCAAGAA